TGATCAAAAGGGGGAAAACACAGAACAGTCCTTAAAGCAACATCTTTGCTTTTTAACACTTTAAAGAGGTCTTTTGCAGCAGATTTGCCCAATGCAATGCATCAGATTTGATTTGATTTCTTGACTGCTGTTTCCATGGGTGTTGACTGTGGATCCTTGACAACTTCAGTATTTTCTCTGTTTATCATGATGTTGCTTATTGGTCCAGTTGTGAGGATTTTTGTCTTCTTTATGTTGAGGTGTAATCCATATCGAAGGCTGTAGAGTCTTTGATCTTTATCAGTGAGTGCTTCAAGTCCTCTTCTCTTTCAGCAAGCAAGGTTGTGTAATCTGCATATCACAGGTTGTTAATGAGTCTTCCTCCAATCCTGATGCTGTGTTCTTCTTCATACAGTCCACCTTCTTGGATTATTTGCTCAAAAGAGATTGACTAAGTATAGTGAAAGGATAAAACCCTGACTGGATACAACCCTGACTTTAAACCACAAAGTATCCCCTTGTTCTGTTCCAACGACTGCCTCTTGTTCTATGTACAGGTTCCTTATGCGCACAATTAAGTGTTCTGGAATTCCCATTCTTTGCCATGTTATCCATAATACGTTACGATCCACACAGTCAAATGCCTCTGCCCAGTCAATAAAACACAGGTAAACGTCTTTCTGGTATTCTCTGCTTTTAGCCAAGATCCATCTAACATCAGCAATGATATCCCTCGTTCCACGTCCTCTTCTGAATCTGGCTTGAATTTCTGGCAGATCGCTGTAGATGTACTGCTGCAACTGCTTTTGAATGATCTTCAGCAAACTTTTACTTGTGTGTGATACTAATGATATTGTTTGATAATTTCCTCATTCTGTTGGATCACCTTTGGAATGCGTACAAATATAGATCTCTTCCAGTCAGTTGGCCAGGTAACTGTCTTCCAAATTTCTTGGTATAGACAAGTGAACACCTCCAGCGCTGCATCCGTTTGTTGAAAACATCTCAACTGATATTCCTTCTATTCCTGGGGCCTTGTTTTTCACCAATGCCTTCAGTGCGGCTTGGACTTCTTCCTTCAATACCATCAGTTCTTGATCATCTGCTACCTCCTGAAATGGAAGAACATCGACCAATTCTTTTTGGTACAGTGACTTGGTGTATTCCTTCCATCTCCTTTTGATGCTTCCTGCATCGTTTAATATTTTCCCCATATATTTAGCCTGTATTTTCTCATCTTGATTCCTTCAGTTATTTGCTCTTTTCCTTTTGTATTGAATATTGAAAACTGCTCCAAATTCTTTGTGAAGGGAAGCAAAGTATAAACCTGTACATAAAATCAAGTAAATTCAAGTGTAGTATTTTTCCACCTCTGTCCCAGCTGCCAAGAATGAATGGTAGCCTATGACATAAAGAAAAAGTTCCTTTCTTTCTGTATTCATTGTTTCTAAAGGCACAGCCAGATGTGATACATTAAATATTTTTTCTTTAAAATGGTTAAAATAAATAATTCCCAATGGGGTAAATGCTAAGTCTCTGTTATCTGGAAAACTCACTTATGTAAAAAAGTATATGCCCTAATTTGGACAGATACATTATCACTATACTAAATAGTATATAAAAAACAAATACTGAAAAGACAACCAGAGTGGCTTAGTAACTGTCAGTGTTGGAATTAAAAACAAAAACAAAAACAATAGCTTTGTTGAGGCATAACTGACATGTAAGAATGGCTAATATTAAAAGTATCTAATTCCAAAAGTTTTGACATATGTATATACCCGTGAGGCCATCACCTCAGTCAAGATAATGAACATACATATCAATCCCTAAAAATTTCCTTGTGCTATTTTGTAATCCATCCATCCTGTCCCTTTCTTCACCTCCCACCCCAATACTAATCAACCACTGATCTGCTGTCACTATAGATTCATTTTCATTTTCTAGATTTTTCTATAAATGGAATCCTACAGTGGAGCCCTGGTGGCACAGCGGTTAAGAAGCTGGCTGCTAACCAAAAGTTCCACAGTTCAAATTCACCGGCTGCTCTTTGGAAACCCTATGGGGCAGTTCTACTCTGTCCTATAGGGTCACTATGAGTTGGAATTGACTTGATGGCAATGAGTCTCACAGTGTGTACTCTTCCTCTGGCTTCTTTCACTCGGCGTAACTGTTTTGAGATTCACGTATGTCGCTGCACACATCAATAACTCATCCGTTTTTACTACTGAGTAGTATTCCATTGTCTGAATATGCCAGTCTATTTATTCATCTGTTGATGGACATTTGGGTTGTCTCCAGTTCAGACTATTACAAATAAAGTTCCTATGAACATTCATGTACAAGTTTTTATATGGCCATATGCCTTATTTCTTTTGGATAAACACCTAGAGGAGAATGGCTAAATCAAATGGTAGGAATACGTTTCATATTTTAAGAAACTGCCAAACTGTTTTCTGAAGTACCATCTTACATTCCCACCAGCAATGTATGACAGTTGCAGTTCCTCTATAACCTTGCCAGCACTTGATGTGGTCAGTCTATTTAATTTTACCCATTCCAATAGTTGTATAGTGTGATATCTCAATGTGGTTTTAATAGCATTTTCCTAAGGCTAATGATTTTGAGCATCTTTTCATGCACTTATTAGACATTCATATACCTTCTTTGGTGAAACATTTGTTCAAATCTTTTTAAAAATAAATTGGGTTGTTTTCTTATTGACTTTTGCTAATTCTTTGTATGTTTTTGCATACAAGTCCTTTATCAGATATATGATCTGCAAATATCTTATCCCAGGCTGTGGCTTGTTTTTTCATCCGCTTATCAGTGTCTTTTGAAAAGTAAATTTTTTATTTTGATGAAGTTCTACTTATCAACTTGTTCTTTTATGCATCCTGCTTTTGGTGTCATATCTAAGAAATCTTTGCCTAACCCAAAGTCACAAAGGTTTTCTCCTAGAAGTCTTCTAATTTTAGATTTTACATTTAGATCTATGATCCATTTTGAATTTATTTTTGTACATGGTATGAAGTATGGATCAAAGTCTATTTTTTTGCATATGGATATCCAATTTTTCCACAACCATTTGTTGAAAAGACAGTCCTTTCTCCATTGATTTTCCTTTGCATCTTTGTCAAAAACCACCTGCCGATCTATACATGTGGTCTTGATTACTGTAGCTTTCTAAGTCTTGAAATCAGTGTTAGTCTTCCAACCTTGTTCTTTGGAAAACTGCTTTGGCTATCCTACTAGGTCCTTTGCCATTTATGAATTTTAGAATCAGTTTTTCAATTTCTACAAAAAAAGCATGCTGAGATTTTGAGATATGGATAAAGATCACATTGAATCTGAAGATCAGTTTAGGGAGACCTGACACCTTAACAATACTGACTCTTCCAATATATGAACATGGTATGTCTATCTAGTTTTTCTTTAAATTCTCTCAGCAATGTTTTATCATTTTAAGTACATAGGTCTTTCACACTTCAGTCAGATTTATTCCTATTTCATATTTTTTATGCTGTTTTGTGTTCCTAAAATATAGATTTTTGTATATTTGCATACTGAACTTGTATCCTGCCAACTCTGCTAAATTCTTTTATTAGTTCTGGTAGCTTTTTTGTAGATTCCACTGAATTTTCTACACAGATTAGCATGTCATCTCTGAACAAAGACAGTTCTACCTCTACCTTTACAATCTACATTTATTTTTCTGCCTTAGTGCACTGACTAGAACCTCCAGCACAATACTGAATAGAAGTTGTGAAAGCAGACATCCTTTTGTTCTGTTGTTTTTTGTTTTTTTGGGGGGTGGTGGTGGTGGCACTCAGTCATTCATCAGTATGACATTAGCTGTAGGTTTTGCATAGATGCCCTTTATGAGGTTGAGGAAGTAGCTTTCTGTTCTTAGTTTGCTGGGAGTTTTTATCAGGAATCGATGTGGGATTTTGTTCAATGTTTCTTCTTGCCTGACCACTAATATCATTTGTACCCAAAGATGGCTATTGCTGCATTCTACAGAATGTAGTGGAGCCCGTGGATTTTAAGGCCACCTTAGATTCCACCTGTTTGTCAACACCACCTCTCTGTTGCTAGCCAACTTTTCTTGGAGCAAGAGCAGCTAATTCAATGTACTTTATGACACAAACTGCTCTTCTGGTTCAAACACACTTGATTGTACTTTTAGCATCAAATTGGGTATCCAAATACTCTTACTGAATCTGAGAAAAAGTCTCTTTTGACATACAATAATTAACATGAATATCAGAGCTTTTAATAGTAATGTAATTGGAAACTATTTTGTATACTCTGCATCATAGGAAGCTATCACAGAAGAGGTAGACTATGAGTGTAAACGATGAGAAAGAAATGCAGATACGTTGTTTTCGTCATTCTTTGCTGTTGACTACATGAAGGGATTAGAGATCTACTGTCACCTTTGCAATTTATTAGTATTAGAGGAAACATGTAAATCTCTTTCTTCATAATTACATAGAATTTTAGTAAATAAAGCACTTTTACATAGTTGCTAAAATACATATATTGGTTGAATGGATGAATTCCTCAATTCATTTGATCTCCGTGGAATGGGCAGATTATCCACTCACTGGGTACAAAGGCACACCATTGGGAATTACGTTAAATATCCATATACACAAGTTAGCATTAAAATGCCTACTCCACATGTACAGCAAATTTCCAACTCTGACTTCATTTCAGAATATATAGGTTGACAATTGCTTCTCCATGGTATCGTGATTATACTGCTGTGTTGTGTTCACAGAAATGCTCAGACAGGTCTGGATAATGACACTGAGGTTCAAGCAATAAGAGGCAAGGAATAATAGCAAAACGAGGATAAATCATCTGATATTACAGACCTCAGAAAAATACAGACCAAAGGAAAACTGGGCTGTGGATTTCCCCCCACATAGGGTCTTTAAAGAGTCTTCTTAAGGCAAATATTAGATGTCATTTGTTCCTGGTAAATAGGCACACATTCATGTTCTAAGGAGATAAGGGAGAAAAGTGTGAATTGGTAATAGGGGAAGAAGTGGTAGGTTAAACGTGGGCTGGAAAATTCAATTTTTAATGACCAAAAAAAAAAAGTCTCTGGACTAAATTACTTCTGAAAACTATGTACAAAGCCATTTCCTATTTGGGGCTTTTATTTTCTTTGTGCAAATCTGACAAATTTCAGTTAGTTACCTAAACAAACTTCTGCCACAGCCCAAGAAAAGATCATTAATCTCATCTGCCAACAATGAAGCTAAGTCAGGAATTGCTGTTTCCTTCTTCAGGCAACAATCAGGTGACTACACTAGTCTGCTATACTATCTCATCCAATAGAAACAAGATGACTAAAGATATGTGCTGAATATTAATGGCTCAAATACTTGCCTTGACATACTATCTTCAGAACATCACATTTTGCTCACAATCTGAACTGAACTCAAGCAATGAGCAATGCAATAATCATCTTGTTTGAAATTCAAAATTTCTCACAAGAAAATGGATGGAAATTTTAGTAACCAAATCCTCATTTTTACATATTAAAGAAAGAACTCATAGAAATGAAACCAGTGCTTTAATAATGCTTTTAATCCTACTCAATCTATTCCCTAATATAAGAATCTGCTGAAGAACTGAATAGTATATTGCAAATCTACTAGGCATAAACTCTTTATTCAGTTGGCATTCAATAAAATTTAGAAAAATGTCAAAGCAGGATCTTGCAGTAATATTTTGCTTGCTGTAGCCAAGTTTTAATCTAAAATATTGGGGGAAAAATTCAGCACTTCATCCAGTGTATCTGCTTGCTTTTGACTAGCTAACACGTTAATCAAGAAAAGGTTGTGCGGTCCAACTATTGGATAAGTTATTTGGAAAAGAAAAAATATTTGTCTACGAATTTGTGGATAAAATGTTTCCAAGAAGAAATTATAAATGGGTCCTATTTTAGTTCTCTCCTATTATGAATGACAGGTTTAACGTTTTTAGAAACCTTAAGAATATAATGACTACATCTTTAAAAGCCTCTAGGGATTACTGTACATTAACGTACCAGAGTCAGTTAATTATTTATCTATAAATTAATCTTTCTAAACAGATTTTCACCCCCCTTCAATCTGAAAGCTAAACTCCTGAGTCTCCACTTCAGCAACTTCATATCTGAAGAGCCTACATCTGTAAAAACATTTCTAATGAAAACACGAAGACAACCCCCAGAGAAGCAAATAAAATGAGATTTAAGTATATAGCAGCCTTTCTACAGTTACATTCCTAACAAAAGTGGATTCTAACTTGATGCCAAAGAGAGGTTATATAACAAAAGCAGTGAGAGATCTAGTTCTTCTGGTTTCAGTGAAAACTTCAGTTACTAAACGACTCTGTATTTTCCCATTTACACCAAGACAGATGACTTACATCTTTATCTCCTGAGTCATGGAAGCAGAGGGCCCACTGGACAGAAAAGCTTCACGGTTCTGCTACAGAACAGGTGGGAGAATAAGTGCACACTGAAAAGTCTGGGCTCCAAGGGCTATGTTACAATTGCCAAAACACAAAAATCAAAGATGGATTTAAATGTTCAAGTCATAACACATTAAAAATCACTCAATCAGACTTTATTCAATACTCCACGCAAATTACTTTACCAGTTAAGACCACCACCAACCAACAATAAGGCCACACCAACAGAAAGATAGTAAGCTTAACTTAGGGAACCAGTCATCTGTTATAAAAAATTACCTCTACCATTTACGTCCACAGTCTGCTAAATTAAACAGTCATTTGTGTTTATTTGCTTTGTTTTTATTTTGTTGTTTTGCTCTTTTCTAAAGGGTAACAAGATCTTAATTTTAGAAAACATGAAGGTATTACAATCTCAAATTTCAAAGATCCTCCAATTTACCTTTAGTGTTCAGGATCAAAAAGTAGCCATTAATTTTCACTAAAATCATCTGGTCATACTAGACTCTCTCCCCCTGAATTTGTGCAGAGCCTCTGTTGTTGTTGCTAGGTGCTGTCCAGTTGGTTTCGACTCACAGCGACCCCATTTATAACAGAAAAAAATGCTGCCTGGTCCTGTGACATCTTCACAATCGTTGCTATGTTTGAGCCCGTTTTTGCAGCCACTGTGTCAATCCATCTCATTGAGGGACTTCCTCTTTTTTGCTGACCCTCTATTTTACCTAGCATGATGTCCTTCTCCAGGGACTGGCTCCTTCTGATAATAGATTCTCTGCATGTCCTTAAATCAGACATAAACTCCTACCTCTGCTGAAAGCAACAGGAACTCAGGTTCAGATACAAATTACTAACATACCTGGTAGAAACAATACATCCCTCCAAAGCAATATGTGCCAGCTTTAGACATGGGAAGTAGACTTTCTCCATGAAACATAATCATAAAAATCTTAAAGGCACATTTTATTTCACATTAAAATATATGATAAAAGGTCTGCTGTTATATGCACTAATTAAGAAACTCATTCATTCGTTTATTCACTCATTTTTCTACTTGTGGTCACAGTCTGTAACTCCAGTCATTGACAACTCAGTAAAGCAATCAATGTAAATATGTTAACTGTCACTTACAAATGTAATGGCTGTTGCTAAAGGACTACAAAGGTGTTAAATTTCACACTCCCAATTTTAAGACATATAAAAATATCTGCAATGTAAGCACTTGAGAAAAAACAAAAATACAAAGACAAAGTGACTTAAATGGAAAGTGCTAAGCGCTTTGCCCTGCATTTTGTTGTTTGGAAGCAAAAGTAATGGACTGCTCGAGAACTCAAAGATGCATACCATTATGATTTTATTTGTTAAATTACAAAGCCAAAAGATCACGTTACTGAAGACAAAACAAACCACACATTTTTGAAAAATCCTTTTTGCTTCTTTAAATCTAAGGCCCCCTCTAGTGTTTGAAAACAGTCACACACAGCACACAATATAGTCAAACAGTCACAATATTTTACCAGAGACCTTCCAAAACAAAAAGAATACTTTTGTTCTATTCATGTGGCAGAAAATCAATGAGAGAAAATATCATAATTAATATTTCAAATTCCTGCTATGATTCACAGATTCATTATCTTCTCATTCAGTGATTCCTTTTTTTTTTCTGTTATTTACCATGCGGCTGTTTCAGACATTAATACTTTGTTAATAAGGAAAGCATGTAATGTATGTAGGAACTTTAATTTCACAAACAAGAAATACACCTACTGGAAGATAACAGAAAATGACTTAATTTAATGTTACCAAATAGGCAATTCTGCTTTTATGAAGGTTGTTGGTAAATAGTATACACTTCCTAAAGCATATACTTAAATTTATTATCTTTGGGAATCAGAATTTTAAAACTACATATATTTTATAAGACTCACCTAATCTGTGAATCTCTTAATAAACCTTTTCGGTTCCCTGTAGAAGGAGGTGGAAAGTGTTGCTCTGGGGACAAATATTGGCTCTGAAGAATATGATGTAAAGGAGCTGTTAAAGTTACATGGACATGGCACTATGTAAATCCGATGACTTCATCTTAGGTACTTTTGAAAAAGATTGATTAAATAAAATCAGGGGGAGTAAAAAACAGTAGGTTTTTACTCTATATTCTCAGCTAATGTCTTTAGTATCTGTTTCCATATTAGAAAGGGTCTGAATTAGCAGCTAATATTACTATTGCTGGGGAAAAAAATCTAACTCCAACAAAAGAATACAATGCAATCTTGAGGACAAGAATAGCAGAGAAAACCACGTTAACTTATTACTTCATATTCATAAAAGTTAAGAGTATGCTGGAAATTTGAAATTTCAATAGTTCTTGAAACAAGTTTAACCTGTATTAATTTAAGTAAATAACTAATTGTCATCCAATATATCATATGGCTTCTCTACCTTGATTCTACTTTCTATTTGCAAACCTGTCACTTGCAAATGTTACAAGTTAAAAGAAAAAAATAAGACAGATCATCTAAAGTGAGTTAAATAAAACTAGTTACATTTACAACTGGTCTCAACTTTTAACATATCTACATTCAAATGGAACAGGACACAGCATTGTTAAAGTGCAACACGGAATTTTTTGGCTCAACATGAAAAATTATATAACTGGAAATTACTACAGTCATTTTTCCTAAAACAAATTTACTGAAAAGCTGTTTTGAAAGTTAGCCCTCAAATTGTAAATTATGAGAAACAATGAAGAGTCACTTAAAATGAGTGTATAAAAAGCAATTACAATAAAACCAGTGTGGGAGAGGTAGGATAAAGTAAATAAAATCAAATAAATACTATACAATAACATACAAAATTTTGCTTATAAAAATTGAAAAATTTTGGGTAAAAATCCATTTTACCCCCCTTTTGAGGGTCTTACAATACAATTAAAATTTAGACCTGGAGTGTCTGTAAAGATTTTCCAAATGTTATTCATTACTGGCATTGTTTTTTGCTAAAACCTCTCTGATCTGTCGGTCGAGTTCACTTATTATTCGATCCTCGTGATTATACACACCCGTTCTCATCAAAGTATCCCTTTCTTCTATTAGGCGAGTCAAATAAACATCCAAACCTTCTTCCAATCCTTTGCCATGTGGGCTATCCATTTTTCCACTTGCAATCTCTCTGGAATCCTGGTACTGTTTTTGGTCTTGTTGCCTTAACCTAAGAAGGCAAGAACCAATGCCACTCTAGCAGGCAACAAATACTGTTTTGGTTTTCATAACAACATTATTTAAAAACAAAATGACCCAATGGTAAAGTAAGTTTTTTAGTAACATTTTCAGGAAGAAAACAAGCCATTATTTGGCTAGTCAGAATTAGCACATTTATAAAAGGCAGTTTTTTAAAAACAATACTTTTCTCATTTTAAAGTAATACATGAAAATTGTAGAAATTTTGGTGATGTATAAAGAAGAAAATAAAAATCTCCTGCAATTACCACCCAGAGATAACCAATCTGAGTAACATTTTTCTGTGTGGCCTTTCAATTTAAAAAAAAAAGTGTACGTATTTTAAATACATATTTTCTCTAAAAAATTTTAATACTATGTATGCAATGCTGTATACCACTTTTTCACTTACGTATATAGTGAATATTTTCAACATCATTGAGTTTTCTTCCAAATGGCTTTGTAATGTTCCATCATTTGGATGCAACATCATTTAACCATCCTTTACTGCTGATCTCTAGGTGTTGTTAACTTTTGTTGTTATAGTTGTTTTGAATATAAATTTTTCGACGTATAAAATACAAAATTTTTCAACAAATATATAGTGGTGCTAGTTCTAGGTTTTGGGATACTGCAGTGAATTAAGAAGTTCTTACTTTTATGGAGCTTATCTGATTATTTGTAGATATAAATGTAAAACATATAAATGTGAATGCCTAGTTCAAAGGAGATTTGCATTTTAAGACTTTGGATGATATCTTCCAGTTATGTTTGTGATGATCCCATCTAGGAGGCGAAAAAAGGAGAGCAAATGCTAGCCTGAGATTTGGGTATTTCCAATAGAATACTGTTGATCTTATTGCCTTGAAAATGTACAGGCACTAAGAATATTTAATACACTTACTAAGTGACAGTAACACTAAATTTAGATATAGTTATGTTTTATTTAATTTAGAATGTATAATTAATAAGATATAATTTTATACTCCACTATGTAACTGGCTAAAAAACTTTTTAATTAGCAATTTAAAGCCATCCTATTTATAAAGACAAAATTCAGAAATAGTTGTGAATTAAAACATTTTTGTAGCCAGTTACATAGAGGAGTACTAGCGGCTACTTGAATCCTCTCAGGCTTCCTCATATGAACTCTTCTTATCATGTCTAGCCCATCACATAAGTGATTTTTCGTGTAACTTAAACAGAGGACTCTGCTTTTGTCTCTGATATATCTAAAATCTTGCTGGTTTCAGTCTTCTCTGAATCTTGATTTATTAAGACATTAGTGATATAATTCAATTTTGTATGATCTCCAAATCTGATAGGCTAACATGTATTTGTTGCACTAAAACAAAAAAGTGCCGTATATGATGGGAAAATTTTGGAAGGTAAGGATCATGTTATATTATAATTCATTATTTTGTAATATCTTAAAAGTCTACAACATTGAATACAAGACAACAGTAGCACAGATTGAGCCCTCAGTATGACACTATAGACCATGACTGCTCCCAACTGACATTTATTCATTAATACTCTAAATTTTTTTTCCAGGTGCCATCAAGTCAATTCCAACTCATGGCAACCCCATGTGTGTCAGAGTAGAACTGTGCTCCACACGGTTTATGATGGCTGATTTTTTGGAAGTAGATCTCTAGCTCTTTCTTCCAAGGAGCTCTGGGTGGACTCGAACTGCCAACCTTTCGGTTAGCAGTCAAGCACATTAACCGTTTGCGCCACCCAAGAAAACAAACCTGTTGCCGTTGAGTTGATCCCAGCTCACAGCGACCCTACAGGACAGAGTAGAACTGCCCCATAGGGTTTCCAAGGAATGGCTGGTGGATTTGAACTGCTGACCTTTTGGTTAGCAGCCAAGCTGTTAACCATTATACCACCAGGGCGCCACTCAGGGACTCCTAATACTCTAAATGCAGTTGTTTAATTCAGCTCTGATCCCACCTAATATAGTAACTGCATTTTTCCAGCTCACACATGGGGATGTCATGGGATACTTCATAAAATCTATGCTTTGCTGAAACAAAAATGTACTAGTTCCTTGATAAGCCAGGCTGAAAAACCTTCCTCCACCTTCTTCCAAAAAAAAAAGACTATAATTTGTTCTTATGGTGCTTCCTAATCATTACCTTTTTTTTCTAACATGAAACACTGTTGAATCAACACGACACTACAGAGAAGCCCAGTGTAGCATTAAAAAAAAAGAAAAAAAACCCACCGTATCCATTGCCATCAAGTCAATTTCGACTCATAGCAACCCTATAGGACAGAGGAGAACTGCCCCATAAGGTTTCCAAGGAGTGGCTGGTGGATTCAAACTACCAACCTTTTGATTAGCAGCCAAGTTCTTAACCACTATGGCACCAGGACTCCCAGTGTTAGCACAGTAGTTAAAAGCACAATCTCTGAAATTAGATTTGAACTATGGTTTCATGTTTTACTAGCTGTGTAACCCTGAAAAGGGTACTAATCTCTTTAGTCCTCAGTTTCCTCATCTCTATAAGGGGGATACCTTCCTCAAAGAGTTGCTCTGAAGATAAAAAAGAAATAGCCATATAAGGCATTTAACATAACTTCTGACATTTCAGTAAGGGCTCAATAAACAAGTGATATTTTATAATTGATATTAAGAATATAAACCTGAAATTTCTTATGCTTTATTTAACTCAAAATTCAATATAATCAATTACCTTAAAATAGTAGCAGTAATCCTGAAACAGTCACATAAAAATAAATATTCAAGTACTAACGCTATGAATGAAAACAAAAAAGCTAAACAGATTTTACATAGCTACATAAGGCAAAAAAAATTAAGTATGATGGTGACTGGCAAAGATTTCCTATTATACAAGTCTGCTACACTTTATATATGATCTACTTTATCCTCAAGAGACCTGAAGTTGTACTTTCCCTAGACCAATTACAAGGTTGTCCTATTAGAACTTCTGCTATTTAAAAAAAATTATAATCTTTTAGTTATGATACCTGTTCAATTCATTTCTTATATCCAACAATTCTTGTTGCTCAGTTTTTACTGTATCTTTTTCCTCAGCAGCCAGGTAACGTAGTCTCATCTGCTCTAATTCTTCTTGCTGTTTTTTAAGACGAGCCATCTGACTTTCTTGTTCACGCTTGAAAAGAAGGAAGAAAAAAACCAGATCCCCACAATTAGGAACAAATATATTTAATAGGACTGTGATTTGTGATTATAATCCTATTTGGCAATACTTGTGATGCAGCCATGCACTGCCAATACTATGAGTCATATATTGTCTAGAAATGCTCAGGTCCTCTCGGAATATTCTATTACTTCTCCTTTTATTACAAGCCATAATCACCTGTGGCCGAGTGACTGAGGTTAGCTGAATATCATAGGCTAACAGAAGCTGAAGACAAGAAAGAATCCACTGTCAATACAATGAGACTCCACAAGGACTAATGGTGAGAGCAACATCTAAAAAACAGTTAATTACACAAAGATGTACAAAGAAAAATTTAATAGTCTTCCCTGCACGGATCACTAATCCCACTTCCACCTCAGATAAATAATATGCCTTTCTATATTTCTTCCATGCTCATACAAAAATCTGTGCACATATGTATATATTTGTATGTTTTGAGCAAAAATGGAACAAATGATATGTCTTAACTTTGCTTTTTTAACTTTAAAATTCCTCCAGCTCAACAGAGTAAACCTCTCTTTGAAATAAATGTGTAACATGCCACAGAATAGATTCACCATGACTTACTCAACCACTCCCTCAATGATGGACATTTTGGTACCATAAACAGTGTTGTACTAAAACACCCCATCATCTAACACATAGTTACCTCCTGAATCCCTCTACGTATTTCTTTAGGTACAATTACTTTTTTTTCTTTAGGACAGAACCCCAATGTGGGACAGCTGGATCAATAGGTATGTGTCATCTTTTAAAAATAAACCTATTTATTGAATTACGACAAATAGAAAACTGATAAATCACAAGTGTAAATTTTAATATATTTTCACCCAGATCAAGAAACAACATTTTCAGAACCCCAGACATCCCCTGTGTTTCCTCTCAGTCACTAACCACCCACCCTTTCCCAAAGATAACCACTATCCTAATTTCTAATACCACAAATGTTCTATTTTGAACTTTATATAAATGGAATTGAACAGTATATAGTACTTTTTGTCTGGCTTTTTTCACTTAACATTGTTTCTAAGTTTCATTCATGTTGTTCTGTGTAGCATTCCACTCCTGTATTGCATTCCACTGAATGAATATACAATTTATTCATTCTACTATTGAGGGACATTTGGGTAGTTTCCCATTTTGTATTATAAATAATGCTGATGTGAACATTTTTGTACATGTATTTTGACACACATTTTGTGTAGTGAATATTGCCAGTTTTCAAATTGGTCATACCAATATTCCCACCATGCTGTGAGTGTTCCAGTGTTCCATATTCTTGCCAACACTTGGTATTCTTTTTCATTCCAGCCATCCTAGCAGGAGCCCTGGTGGCACAGTGGTTAAGCACTCTGCTGCTAACCAAAAGGTCGGTGGTTTGAACCCACCAGCCACCCCACAGGAGAAAGATGCGGCAGTCTGCTTCATAAAGATTTACAGTCTTGAAAATCCTATGGAGCAGTTCTACTCTGTCCTATAGGGTCGCCATAAGTCAGAACTGACTCAACAGCAACGAGCATCCCCCCCCAAAAAAAAAAACCCATTGCCGTCAAGTCAATTCCAACTCATAGTGACCCTATACCAAAGACAAAGAGAAAAAGACTGACTGCCTACTAAAGAATGAAATTATTTTAACAGTTAAGTCCTCAACAGAAAAAATGAAAGCCAAAAGAAGTTGGAAAATATCTTCAAAGTGCTGAGAGAAAACTATCTACCTGGACTAGTGTATTCAGTGAAATGATCTTTCAAGAACAAGGATAAAACAGATTTTCGGACAGTTTACTACTAGTAACTCTAACAAAGAAGACTGCAAAGGATGTACTCTAGGAAGAAGAAAAATGAGCACAAAAAGAAGGTCTGAGATCCAAGAAGGAATGATGAGCAAAGGAAAATAGTAAATATGCAGGTAAATCTAAGTAAGTATTGTATAAAACAGTGATAATAATGTGTAATTTGTAGAATTTAAAAATGAGAAGACAGAACTAAAATACTTTACAACAACAGATTGGAAGGAGGGTGACTGGAGTTAAATTACTCTTAGGTTCCTGTATTAACTTTAAAGATATTACCTTTGGATTTTGTTAAATTAAATATGGATACTAAAATCCCTAAGGTAACCACAAGAACAGAACAGAAATAAAAATCTGTAAAGGTGACAAATAGGATGACAAGAAGAACAAGAACAACAATACTGATCAATCCAAAAGAAAGCAAGGAGGAAACAAAGCCTAGAAAAAGTAGGTCAGAGAATCAGATGGTAAAAATAAACTAAAACACAGCAGTAATCACAATAAACGTAAAGGGAATGTAAACTCCAGGTAAAAGACTGATAAAATAAAATATCCACTTACATGCTGTCTATGAATGATGTATCTAATACATGAGGAAAAGAACTGAAAGTACATAATAACCAAAACAAAGCAGTAAATATTATGTTGGTATAAAAAAAGCAAACTTTAAGGGAATTTTACTAGAGACAAAGAGGTTAACTACATAATAATAAAAGTTCAACCTACTGAGAAAATATAATATTGCAACGATAACACAGCTTCAAATTATATAAAGAAACAAAAGATATGAAAAAGGAAAATGGACAAAACTACCATCAGAACAGGAGATTTTACCACACTCGTCTCTGAAACTGATAGATCAAACAGACAAAATACTAGAAAAGATATAGATTTGAACACTGCCTTTAACAAGCTTGGTCAAAAGACCATTTATAGAACAATATATCCGAAAACTGGAAAATATATTTTCTTTTCAAGTAGTCCTTAAATATTTGAAAACAAGTCTACCTCCTAGTACACTGCGTAGGGTCTGGGATCTTAAAAGCTTGCAAACGGCCATCCAAGGCACAATTATCTCTATTTGCCTGGAGCAACAAAGGAAGGAGGAGAGTCAGGGATATAAGGAGGAAATAAAATGTGTAGCTAATTGCTTTCATAAACAACTGCTTCCTTTGCCATCAGACCAGAAGAACAAGATGGTGTCTGGCTACCATTTCTGATCAAAGATTCTATAGAAAAAATCCTGATCAAAAGGGGAAAATACAAAACAGAATTTCAAATTCTCATGGACTCTAAGACTTTCCGGAGCCATAGGGGATGGATGAACCCATGAAACTACTGCCTGATAAAACCTTTAAACTTTAAACCAAAACTGTCCCCTGAACTTGCATATG